CCCCCATCTTACCTTAGCTTCTTATATTGCATGCCCATATTGCATTTTCACTAGAATGGGACTTCGAATGAATTCGGATATCAAATCTTGACATTGAGATATTCATTGGATTCAGCCTTGATGAATAAATAGCCAGTCACGTGATTTCCAGATCAGTTTCTGGCCTTACCCGACGGCATCAACTGGGTATGTGTGTCTGTGGTGGTTGGCGGGGTTTGGTGCTATCCTGCATGAGAGGAGGAAGAATCTGAAAGGTTACTTCACCTTTGATGTTCACACGTCAACCCAAAAAATTGCTAGCTACAATCGACAGAATTGGGTTCTCTTCATATCCCTAAAGGCTAAAGAGATTCTATTAACTGACACACTATTCTTATTAGTCCGTTTAGAAACAATTTAACTTTAAACTTTTTATTTTATCCACTTTGCCCTTACTGGGATGTTTTTATAGCCACACAAATATTACGGCACTATAAAGTTTTTGCCCCTTAAGCTTCTAGGACTACATATTTCAAAAGTCTTTTTTCTTTTTTCTTAAACTTTGTGCCAAGTTAAACTATATCACCTAAATTGAAACGGAAGGAATATATCATTAGGACCAAGAACAAAGAACACTATCTCTCGGGAAGGCTTATTAAGATAACAGGGGGAGGACTGCGAACATTCGTCCGATGAAGCGCGTAGTATGTGTTCCGTATTCGATCATCTTTACCAGCAAATACGTATCTGATATGGGTAGGCAAGAGAGAACCATTGGAAGATATTCGTAGACAGAGGAAAAGAAAGCAAAATTAATCCCGTAGTAGCGGCAAACAAAATGCGAGCTACCTAAACCATGAAAATGGAGTTTCGGGAGAGCAATACAAGCGTCGTGCTCGTGTTTGTAATCGTCTGTTTGCCAATTCTTGTGTATTTTGAAGAATCCATACGAAGTAACCATTGTGACATATTTATGCAACATCGGCACGACTAAGTTAAGACAAATAAAGGATCGATGTAACACTATCTGTAAAGGACTAATAGAAATCAATAGATAATTTACGTTCTAAAAGGAAACTCAGGATCTGTTAGCCCATTTTGCAGTTGAAACCCCAACAGAAATGATGAGCTGCTTATGGATCGTTGAGGGGGAAATCTTTTGTACTTACGATTTTCTTGATAAATAGTCAAACTTTTTTTTTCACTAGCTAAGGGAAGGTACAAACGTTTGGAGCTTATGACCAGGAAGTTACGGGTTCGAGCGGTGGAAACAACCTCTTGTACAAATGTAGGGTAAGATTGCGTACAAAAGGTCCTTATGGTCCGGCTCTTCTCCGGACCCCGCGCATAGCGGGACCTTAATGCATTGAGCTGACTTGAAGGGAAGATACAAGGTTTGCTTTCTACCCGATATGTTTTTCTTCTCTCTCCCAAATGTCGGGGGGAAATCTTGAATTATTTTGTTTTAATGTGAGTGATGGTTATCTATGTCATACCATATATTCCAACAGCTACTTTCTATTAATGGTATGAAGTGCGTTTCAAGCTGGCATATTCGTCCATGATACCCTACTATTAGTGGAAACAAATCTAGTTAGACAAACAAAGACTGTTTCAGTTTTCATTTATTAGTGATATTTAATAAATTAAAGCATATAACTGGTTTCCACTTCGGCTAACTTTTATAATCTATCTTCTCGGATTCTTCTCTTAGGCTGCACCGAGAAGCGTCTTTGCAAAAAGAAACATTAATTGTATATTTAGCCGCAAAGATAAATTGCTTTTTAGATTCATTATGTAATAAGTATTTTGCTGAATTCGCACCTCTTTATCAGAGAAAGATTCATAATTTTACGTCAGTAAGCTTAACTATATTTTCAAGGATTTAGGTTATATACATAGATATTTAAAAAAAATATATATTTACATGGTCATGCACTTTAATTTGTTATAGTTGACTCTTTTTCTATTTTTAGGTTATCATGTCATGCTCGATTTGTAGAGTTATCTATTACTATTGTAAGTTAATTTTACTCAATGGTTTAAAAACTTGTACAACTGTGGTTGCATAGAAGTGCTCTTGTCCAAATACAACAACGTGTCCTGCTATTTCCTCTCCTACACGACTGGTGGATTTCATCAAAGACTTTACAATATTTAACATGCCATTATGTGTTTCTTTCGTCCAATATCTAGTTAAATTACTTCTTTGCTCATCATGTAACAATGGTGTAAGGAGTTAGTGGAAGAAGCTTTATATTTATATATATATATATATATATATATATATATATATATATATATATATATATATGAAATGTAGCTATTTTCTTTTAGTAAAGTTGAAGTCTCATTATCAGAGATGAAGGGACTTTATTTATTTTTTGGGTGAGATTTTGCGGATGGATCCTAGCCACGCGTCTGCTATCACAATGTTGAAATTTTGTATTCAAGATTATGTCTCTCAAGATTATGCTGTTGTTACTTCAACTTCCATATCTCACACACACACACACATATATATATATATATATATATATATATATATATATATATATATATATATATGTATATATATATATATATAGATATATAGAGTGGCAGAGCCACATTGAAACAAGGGGAGTCAAGCGACTTTGCTAGATAATTTATTTTATTTTATGTATATTTACTATACGTTGACTCTTCTTGACTTTTAATTTGATGTTTCTAATTATTTATATTTTGACACCCCTTGATGAAAATTCTGGATATATATATATATATATAGTACTTTATGAATTGTGATAATATAGCATTAATTTAGCCTTGGACTCTGACTGTATTGGAGGATTTTGGGTGCTAAGCAACATCGAACTACTGGAGATGATGTTCAATATTTTTGGATCATGGGATGCTTTCATATCCATGGATGGACATTGTGAATTTTTTAGATCAAATGCTAGGAATACTATATTATTTTATCTTTTAGTAAGGGAAAAGTAGAGGTACAGATCATTGGGGTTTTTAATTTTTTTATGCCACTAGGTTAGGGACAAATATATAGGATGGAATTTTTTTCTACTAATAGGGTATTCCCTCCCTTTAATCATTTCTTTTTTTTCTTTTTCTTTGCTAGGAAAAAAAAGGAACATTTATTGATGTCATATCTGTAAATATATACATCTTGTGATGGATTTCGTTTATCTTTAAATCCATGTGAAAGATTGCCCCGCACTGTTATTTGTTAACCTGCCTTTTAAATTAGTTGAGAAGTTATATCAATTAAAGTTGCCTTTTTGTCTAATCAAATGGCTCTTTATCTTTCCTCTATGACAATGCAAACAAATTTTATGAACTGTACAAGTTATTTCATAGTTTGGCAAAACCTTCTTCCATTATTCAATTAGTTTTTTTTATGAGTAATTTAAGCACCAACAGCTTTTAATTTGAATGGTTGAGGGATAATAAACTTGTTATGAAAGTGGCAAGTTAAGCACAAAATTTCGCAACATATATACATCATTGATAGGGGTGTACAAAGGAAATCGAAAACCCGCACCAAAGATAATTCGAGTCAAACCGAGAAAAAAAACCTGACTATGGTTTGGTTTGATTTGGTTTGGTGTTAGAAAAAAAAAAACCCGACAATAATTGTTTGGTTTGGTTTTAACTAAAAAAAGCCAAACCGAAACCAAACCAACCCGACATTACATGTATACAAGTTTTAAGATAATTTATACATAAAAATAATTATTGTAATGTAATTTATAAATATTTTTTAACCTTTTTCATAGTTCTCTCTTTTAATGTATTATTTCAAGTTTTGATTTAGAACTTTTGAACGGTCAAATATGTTTATAGCCCATAAAAGTTAGTGACTCAAATAAATTCCAAAGCAAAATCAAATCAATAAAAATGTTAACAAGAAAAGTTCAATTCAATACTAGGAATGACAATAGTATTGGATATTTATTTTCTTAGTTTTTCATTACTTTAGATAGTGAAAATACATAACTTACTTTTAATATTATTTAGTCATGTATTTAATACTTAGTACTTATTAGTCGTACTTAACATGATTTAGTACTTTTAGATTATATATATTTTTATTATGGCTTATTAATTAGCAATATTTATTTTATGCGATTTGTTAACTTTTTTTAGTATAATCATGACTCATCTCACATTAGTTTGTATTATTTTATTGGGTAACATCTTATATAGTTTTATCCTACTAGGACCTAAGAAATATTAGAGCACAAATTATAAATTTTATGCTATGAAGATTTTGTCGAAAAAAACCCGAGAAACCCGAGAAACCGAAAAACCCGACTTTTGTTGGTTTGGTTTGGTTTATAGATTTAAAAATCCGAGACAATTGGTTTGATTTGATAATTGAAAAAACCGAACCAACCCGGTCCATATACACCCCTAGCTACTAGTATTGATTTGTGAAGGACGTAGTGAAATAATTTAATTCGCGTTATACATGTAAAGAGATAATTGCACTAACTATACATAAAGCTTCTGACTGAATAGTTAAAAAAAAACACCGTTATAAGTTATCAACTCAAAAGAAAATACGATCCTACTAAGATTAGGTTGTGAATATAGTGTTGGTTTCAACTTTCACTTTCACACTTACACACGCCTCGAGAAATAAAAACATTCTCCAGAAAATATAATTGAACAACTAAACACATGGGAGAAACGACAACGTTGTAGAATCTCAAGTAACAAAGAACTCCCAAACAAAAAACAGTAACATGATTGCATGTATCAACTGCGACAAACTTTAATGTTTACCAGTCTGTTTCTGATGTTTCGTTTTTGTCCAGCGCATAATATCTCGTGACAACCATGTTTCTACCAATAGTTGATTCTTAGTTAGATTTCAGAACTGCTTTGTTTTCGATAAACTATAAATATCTTACACAATTAAGTTTAAATAGTTTTCTTTACATTCAAATAATGAGTAGGAGTCAATATTTTTTCGACAAGTAGGAGGTTATATTCAAGATGATTTTACTTGGATTCTTGTTTCTTCCTATGAATGGATTTTGGAAGAAAGACTTCCTTTAGTTTTTACAAATTGCTTATGGAAAAATTAGTAGAAAGAAATTTTTTGGAAAAGCAAATATGGCAGATAATTAGGGCCAGGGCTGAGGGACTCTCATTTAATTCTTTACAGTGACACAAAGTATAAAGGTAGCGTGACACGATAAAAATGAGGTGCCGCTATTTCTGACAATAAAAATAGAAAATTAAATGCGTATGGCAAAAACAAAATGTAGTTCCATGTCTTTGGATCAAATATGAGTTGTTGAACCTATGACCCAAAAAAAAAATGAGTTGTTGAACCTTAATAAGAAATTGACACGTTGTTTGCGAACTCTGTCGTGGTTTTATTGGAATAACTGTGACCACTTATTAACTTCTGACTCGTACTGGATAAATCAAACTGAATAGTTGACGGATGAAAAGGTGCAAATCTAAGGGGAATGAATCC